TGTACAACAGTTCTTTGCCCCAGAAAAGCAATGGGGACAGTTCAACATGTGCCAAATAAAATAGATGAATAAATCAGGATGTGTTGTTCCTAATATTTTTATTAAAAAGTCTGCAACTGCATTGGTCCATGCGAGAATTCTTCCACTATTCTGTTGTTTTTGGTTCATGGGCAGCAGTTATGGTCAAACATTTTGACACAAAACAATTTGCCTCTTTCAGTGCAGCACCCATAAATGAGAGGTTGGAGTTCATCCCTTTATTTCTATCTAGTAATGGAAAAAGCTGCAGAGTATTTAAACGTACAAAAGAATACTCTCAAAAAAATAAAGGCTCAGTGGTAGACGAACAAATGCAAAACAAAAAATCAAAAAGAAAAAACCCCCAAAAAGCTGTTTGCTCCAAACTAAGAACTTCAGATGCATAAAGCATGGTGGAAAGTATGTATCTATATTTTACTACCCAACACAAAACATACCTGGTATTTTAGGTTATTACCTCAAGGTTTAAATCTGCTTAAATTAACAAAACTTCTGTTAACAAATATCTGTTCAACACATTCCCATTCATGGACCAAAGCCACTGAAACAGGTGGTTTTAATATCACACAGAGAAGCTGATTTTCAGCCACCATCTCCAACACCAAGTTTAAATGTGTTCTTTTGTGTCTGCAGTGTTTGAAATCATCTGTTTGGATACGAATGAATGTAATAAAGTTAGCAAACAAGGCAACAAAAGAACAGCCGCTGCTTTGTTCCCTGAAGCCGACACTTGGTTTCTCTATATATGTCATGGTGAGAATGTGTGGTTTATAAAAAATAACTTCCCAGCTGGAAAATGTTTCTCACAGGAAATAAAAGAGGAAATACATAGACTTAAAATCTTGTGGACTTATGGAGATGTGAATTTTATTGGGCGCGCCTTCTGTTTAATAGCTGAAATCTGTTTTTCCTTGTGTTCCTGCAGGCAGCCATGTTTTCGACTGTGCGATGGTGTCGTGCATGGCAAAGATATTTGTGATTTTTATTGGGACTGCCTGCTGATGTTAAAATGACGCAAATACTCAAATTCTCGCTGTAAAATATAACATGTGATCTTTTAATAACTCAAGGAAACGTTTAATGCATTTCCATGTGTGCAACCTAAGTGAAACTCATTGTTGAATTACCTCAGCATGTTGTCATTACTTAAAGCACCAGATGATCCTGAACACAGCAGGAGAACAGTCAAATAAAATAAAAATCATGTGATGTCATTATTATAACATATTATTTGATATTTATTTTAGAATCCGGTCATGAACCAGATTGTACAGTTCTGTAGGCCAAATTCAGCCCGCGGGCCACCAGTTGTTGGTCATGCTCTACACCTTTAAAAAAGCTGCTGTTATACTGTTAGTATAAAAATGAGTTTGTCATTTATATAAAGTCTTCTGGTAGAGGCTGCAGTCAATGACAACAACATCTCGTAATGGCCTTTTTTAGAAGCAGATTAATATAATTGTCCCTCAGTGCAGGAGTCAAGTAGGCAATGTTAGGATTGGCCCTCTGATGAGTCATCAAGTGCCATTAACTTGTTCTGAAGCACTATGACTATAATGTCCATACTTTTTATTCATGCAGACCTAAGTTATTTAGTACAACATGCTAGCAGCTAGTTACCAGTGAAGCTGTGTGTCCTTATATATCGTTACCCACATTTGTTTTGCTGTTATAAACATTAAATCCAGGTGGGCAGACACTTTTAAACCATCCACATTCAAACCTGTTTAGAAACATTGCTGTTGATCTTAAAGTGTAAAATTTAGCATAATTGAATTTTAGACATATGCCTACGAACAACGGGTGGCTCACTAAGTTTCTTTATGTCCCCTGATCTAAAACATCCTTATTGAATCAACATCAGTAATTAATCCCGTCATATGTAATGGTATTAGGACACCACGTTCAGCTGTGGTAAACACAGTGTGGGCCGTCTGTGTTTCACTGCCTGTCTCATTGAATTATTCAATCATGACGTCTAATGTGTGTTTAATTGTTTCAACATTCAAGTTTAATTTGTGTTTATCTTTAATCCTTGTTTTTACTCCATTGTGGTTTATTGCAGTCTAATAGAAACTGAACAGTAAAAGGAAAAGTCAGCCTTTTTCTCTGTTCATTTTATGAGAGCTGTCAATAATTTCAAAAATGAAATTTTTATTTTAATTAACCAAATAACCAAAAATGTTCGCACTACTTCATACATACACACAAGGGGTCAAAATACTGTTCTGGTCAAAACAGTAGGAACACAGGAACAATTACAGATTTTGATACGATTTAAGTTGTGATTTTGCACAATTCTTTTCCCTATTAACAATTCCATTATACAAAAACAGGGGTGAAACACATACTGTACATTCACCTTCTCCTACTGTAAGTCTTTCTGTTCAAGAAATATACAGAGAAAGATGCTTGTCATATTTAGAAATGACGATTTACCTTAATAAACACGATCAATCCATATTTGAAAATAGATTGCATTGTCACAATGCAAATGAAGCTTCAGTTTGCTGTATGTGCTTCTGTCAGGGCTGCCAGCTAACAAAGCAAACTGCTTTTAGGGCTTGAGTCTTCATCCCTCTGGAGAAATTAAAGTTTTCTTACCTGAAAACTTATCTTAACCCTTGTAATTGCTTTGATTCATTACAACTTAAGAGTTACCTGTCCTTAATTAGCCTTAGTCAAGAGTGAAACTCTCTGCATTTTAAATTGGCACATTTATTGCCAAGCACGTTGACTTGAGTACTATATAATGTGTTACTTGTGATGTTTATTTAATGGTATTTAATATATGTTAAATTGTAACATTAGAAAAGTAAAAAGTTTGAGATATTATGACCCTGCATACATATTGTCATTAGTGCCATGAATAAAAAGAAAAGCATACATATATATATACATATATATATATATGTATACAATGTGTAATAACTACAGAGTAAAAAAACTAAGATACTTTTCAGTAGCCTTGGAGTACCTGCCATAAGTTAATGAAGGTAATACGTGTTAAGAATACATAGATGTAAACAACATTGGCATATAAAATAATTAGAGCCTGAAGTTATTGCTACTTAAGCTGCTATGACAACAGCTCTGTGCAACTGTCTCCATGAGAGACTAGATTCCTGCCTGACTATCATTATGACACATTTTGCCTAAATTTAGACACAGATGAGGTCAGAGTTTTTGCCCTCAGGACAGTATCTATCCATATCCCCCGTGCTCTGCTGTTCTTTTGCCATTTTACCAGATGTACAGCATTTGCCAGATGTACAAATTTGGTTAACAGTGTAGCAATGAAGGGTAGTAAAAAATACAAATAAAAAAATGTTTTATTTCACTGTGCCTTCCATAACCCATGAAACCCACGACTGGGCTATCTTTTTTGGCTGGAATTGCCCTTCCTAATGGAATGGCTTTTTGCATTATTCATATTTTTGCTATTTACCATTGAAATCATTCTGAACTGTAGGTTTCTCTTCTCGATAAACAAGTTAACGCTATCACGTTACATTGCCTAATGTTTCGTGCCGATGCCTGCTTGGTGGCATGTGCTTGACGTGTTTATTTCCCACCAGAGCTGTTAATATTAATCTTTATGGCGGTGCTTTTAAAACGATTGCCATTATGAATTGCTTTTATGGATCTGCGGTTTTACTCATCATATCTACCTCCTACGCGGCAGTTATGTTATCAGCTGATGTTCTGACAGCACCTGAGCCTCGGCAAACCCTGGTCAGAATATGATATTCTGGTCTGCACATTATTTGTGGTCACTAACTGACAGGAGCTGCTGCTGACACTATGCAACAGTGAAGCAATTTGTAACTTTTTTTTAAGGAAACTTTCAGATTAACGAACTAGGAAACTTTCTTCAACGTGGAATATGGAAAGCAAGGTTTTTAATAGACGCTGTTTGGTTTTAGTAAAAGGTCATATAAGGGTAACAAGGAGCAGATGCTGTAGCATGTTCCTGAGATAATGTCTACAAAGGAAATGGTAATTCATTTTGTAGATAAAGAAAGAAAAGATGAATATCGTCATTAGAACATTTCCTGTTTTGTACTGTACATAATGGCTGTTGGACTTTTTGTGGAATAAGGGGAAAATCACTCCTCACGGTCATTAAGATGTTACTGTATTATGAAGAATAAAAATGATAATTGGGAGCAAAAGCTACTTTGCTCTGTGTTTTAAAGGTCATTGAGAAATGCTGCGTGCTCTGCAGACTCACAAAGCCCCTCAACACACTAAGATTACCGTCAAAGAAGCTCATAAAACAGGATGCTGCCTGAAATAGGATCAAATTAAGAAGCGTGACAATTTAGCGACGTTGCATAAGTGCAATTGCTATCAGGCAGCCGGGCTATTCTCATTTCATACGCTATTCGTGCTCTGTGAGGGTTGCAGTTATCATTTCAGCCCATTTGGTCTTTTAATGCAGATATTCTTTGGAGACTCATATTCCAGCTTTGAACAAGAGAACCTGAGCCTGCTGCCTTGCTCCTTTTTATATCTGCATGGAGAACAGAGTACAGCAGACCGCCTCTTCTGTGTCTGACTCTGAACGTTAGTCCATTTAAATCCTTATTTCACATCACAGTAATTCATAAAGTGCTGTAAACACACAGATTCATTTTCATCATGGTGTGTATCATGTTTCCTTGCTGCTGCCAAAAAACCTCCCTTTTTTCCATATGCACATTAATTTGTACATGCTGAGGACATCAAAGCTGCTGCCTCCCTCCCCCGGTGCCACTGCACATTAACTACATGTTCTGCTGTGTTTGTGTTGGTGTATGTTTGTGAGCATGGATGTGTGAATTTTTCTTTTGATGCCCATTCAAGGCATTAAAAAAAAAAAAAAAAACGATGTCAGGACCAGTGATGCTTACTGGGACAATGGCCTGGCCAAGCAGTCCCAGAAAACCTGACAGGTTTTCATTACACTGTCCAGTTGAATAGAAGTCAATGCAACGTTCGAATGAGGGCAGTAGAGGGCACGTGTGTGTGTGTATGCTTATGTGTGTGAGTGTATGTGTACCCACTAGGGACCATTTCTGCTGTCTTTACTGATTTTTTTAGAATCATTAGTCCCAATGGGAAGAAAACCCTGGGTCTAATGAGGCGGGACCTCATCTGCAAGGTTCCGGCAAAGATGTGAGATGTGAATTATAGTTACGACAAACCTGTCATTCTTAAGTCCTAATGAAAGTCTGTTCACACATGTTTAAGTGGTTTATGATTCAAACCTACATAATTTTATTAATTATTCAACTTCCTTTGGAGCTGTCCAGTTTTGAGTTAATCTTTGAGAGAATTTTTTTTCCCCACATTTTTGTTCATGTATCACATAATTTGTGGAGAATTCTAGAAAGGACAGGACAGTTGCAAAATACAATTTTGTATGATGGTCTGGTAGTAGAGCAAGTATTTGTTTGACTCAAGTCAACAACTGAGTTTCTAAATTGTATCCATCCGTGTTGGCTTGCAGACATCAATAAAAGCCACTTGACATTGAAAAACATAGATGTGTCAGGAAGACTATTGTTTGTGCGTTGAAAGACGTGAATCTTTGAATATCTCTGACGTTGAGCTGTGTTATAATAACAGGACAGTACTTTATCTGAAGCTGTCTATAGTTGGAGGATAAAGCCACAGTATTTAGCTCTCAGAGATTTCCTGACAATCCCAGGTCTTTCATGTAAGCCATTACAGTTACTGTATGATTAGACTAGTGAAGGACTAACTCTAACAGCAGCGACAGGACAGTCAAAGCCAAACTGTTGGAAAGGTTCACAGACAATTTTGAAAATGAGATTTTACATGTGACATTTTGAAACACTCTCTCTCCGGTGACCTAACACATGTCATTACTTTATACAGCTTAAGTTTGAGATTTAAAAACCACAGATGTTCACTACAAGCATGATGAAGAGTTATATGCAACCATTGAATGTCAAAGTTAAATTATGTCTGTAATTGTTGTGGAATATATCCAAACACAAACACAGAGGAATAATGTGTCAGAACCTGCGGCTGCGTCACTCCTGTTCCTCCTACAAAGTTCACAACTTATTCCTCATTACAATATGACCTTGTGTCAAGTAATGTTTTCAATTCATTCGTGCCAGAATCACATCACTGCCCCAAGGCTGCTGCGTACAAAAAGAAATCCATTAAGTACTTGATACAGACCAGTTCTGAAACCTTGCCGACTCCCATGGTCATTGACCCAGAGGGTGACAGGGTTGGGGAGTTATTTTCTGTTTATGCCAGCAGCACACCACAACCCTCCCACTGTGTTTTTTTAAAGGAACACTTTGGATGAATAGTTTAAAATGTTGAAATTTGTGCAAGTGGATACTGTAAGTCTTGGAGCAGAGGGATCGAAATGGAGAGAAACACCACTGAAGTCAAGCATGCAGAGAGCAGTCTGGGTTCTATGGACGAACAACCTCTGCATTTGGAATGAGAAACGGGCAGGAGGCAGGGATGAGGAGAAGAAGGAGGAGGAGGAGGGAGGACTGTAGTGCAAGTGCAGCAGGCTTCCTCAGCGATGCTGTGTTAGCAGCACACTAGGTTCTGCGTGTTTTTGTATGTTTATACAGTCCCATGTTTCTGCTTATGCACGTCTAACTCTTATCTGCTAGATGTTGGGTTATGATTGGCATGTGCATGAGGAGGGAGGGGTCTGGGCAGAACACTGATTGGATGTGTTCTCTTGTAGGGTGTGGCCAGAATATGAATGACAGCCCCTGCCTTTTGCATTGCCAGGTTGAAGGGATAGTTGCCGAGGAGGGATGGGGTGTTTGAGATTGTGTATGTGTGTGTGTGAGAGAGGCAGAGAGCATCAGAGCTTGTGAGAGGAGAGAGGAAAAGAAAAGGGGAGGGGAGAGAGAAAGGGAGAGAGAGAGAGAAAGAGAGACAGCAGAAGAATGTGAAGGGAAGGAGCTAGGGAGAAAAGGAGGGAGCTTCAGGCAGCAAGGCTGAACCAGCGCTCGCTCACTGCAGTCTCTTTTCTGCTTCAACTCTCTTCTCCTCACTTCTTCTCCTGCTGCCTGGCCATGACCCTGATGGACACACTGATCTCCTTGTCTACCTAAAGAAGAGAGGGGGGACGTTTAAGCGGTGGAAGCAGGCACGGGAAGAGGGGACACTGCACACTTTGCCTCACTGATGCACTTTTTGCCTCACTGATGAGAGTGTGGAAATGAATTTCCAGCGTTGAGAGGGAAGCGCAGAGAGTGGCTCAGTGTCAGGTGCAGCAGATAAGAAGAGCGAGTGAGTGGAAGAGGGTTAATTTTGTTAGATGTGTGAAGATGCAGGCGGAGGCAGAGTAACCCCCCTGACACTTTTGAGTCACACACAGGACAAGTTGGGGCAGAGTGAGGAAATGTCAGAGAAGGGAAGAAATTCAACAGGGATACTGAGATTGGTCCCCTCACATCCATCCTTTTAACTTCTCACATTCTCTTCCTCTCACATTCATTCAATTCCATTCCATAATTTCTTTCTTATTTAGTTCCTGCAGTTTTTTTATTGATCTATTTTGCATTTCACCAGAACTCTTTACCAGAGTTCTTGTTTTATCTGATTGAAATAAGTTAATTGGCTAAAGTAGGGCTGCTGTTACCCCCTGGTGGAGAGAGACGCTGAGTAGGATTTTCTTACAAGACCAGGTAGGACATTTCTGGATAATCTTGCTGGAGCGCTGGAGTCAGAACCCTCCAGTGGTTTAACTGATTGTACAGTCACGAGATGAAACTGAAATCCAGCTTATCTCAAAGAACATGACACCTCTGTTTAAGGGATTTAGGAGAGGGGAACAGGGATGTGCAGATATGTGTGTGTGTGTTGGGAATATATCTTAGATACATCGTTTTTGCACAGGTGTCGTGGCAGTTTTTTTTTCTTTTACAATGTTTGCTTTTGTGAATAGTTGAGAATAGACTCTATGATTTTAGTGATCATTTAAGGTCCAGTGGATAAAAACACATCATCCTTTAAAGATTATCTGAGATCAAATGTGAGCACACTGTGAGTGAGTGTAATTAGGTCAATAATTCTGTGATTTGACAGGGGGCATCATTGTTTCAGCCAAAGTGTGCAAAGACAGAAACCTCTCTGAAGATTGTTCTCAGTCGTTCAACGAGTTTTTTTCCCCACAAACTGAAATACACAGAGTGACTGTTGAAGACTTCAACTAATTCAAGTTCCATAATGAGACGTTCAAGTACAGATGAGACTCCTTACCGCCGGAGTCCATCTCTGGACAGTAAACCTGAGACTCCACCATTCACGTCGGGGTTCCATCGCTTCAGTGGAGAGTTCGAGTATAAGCGACCGCCTTTTGCGTTTGGTTTCCACACGACAAAGGGGCCACAAACATCCAAGGGTCGCTACGCCCAGGGGAAGAAGTATGTGGTCTTTTACCTGGATCTCTCCTTCATATTCCTTCTAGAACTGCGACGCTGCAGGATGGCTGAGGGTTGCATGATGGCCCTGAGATATGGAATGGTTTTCTTCAACCTTCTCTTCTGGGTGAGTCTCCGAAACTTCTTATACTATCATTAAGTGTGTGCAAATTTCTAAACGTAACTACTGTAGCTCACAGAATAGATGTGCGCTGTCGTTGGTGTGCTTGTGTTTCTCGTGTGTATAGTTGTGTTATCCTGATTGGAACCTCCTTAATTGTGTGCATGAGTGGAGTGAGGATCATTTGTGTTTGTGGAGAAGACACAGATGGTGCGTTTAGATCATGTGTTCAAAGCCCACTGTGTGGGTGCTTCTAGCTTCCTCTGTTCCCTGTACAGTAGTCTCAGTGTGGGTGTACACTGCATTGTTTGCCGTGTTAAGCTCTGGCATATTTAGAGCCCGCATTGTGTGCATACTTGTTAATCAGAGTGTAACCTGCACAACAAGTGATTCCCAGACTCTTAAAGCCGTGCAATGTCAATCTGCTTGGTCATATGTGTTTGCTGTAGAGCTCTACTGTCTGCTTCAGACAGCCCCATTCAACACAACACCCCCTCCCACACACACACACCCCAACCCACCACAGCTGTTTACATTTATTTTCAGTGTAAAACATGTCAGGTTTCTCCTTCAAAAATCTCAATCTGCTACATTACTCCTTGTGCAATTATGTAAGAGCTTTTTTGAGTGAGCATGTTACTATTTTAGGAACATTTTGTCATCCCTTCTTCTTATTGGTCTAACACTAGTCCTTGCAATGAAGACAAAAATGCAATGAGGTTACCACGATTCAATCTCCCACAGGGTATGTCTGACCTCTCCACCTTCACATCTTGTCAGCTATAAACCTCCGCCATAGAGGGGACCTTTTTTTTTATTAGTGCGCAGTGGTAGTGTATGTGGGTTGGTTAAAAACGGCTACTTGACCACAACAGCCTGTAGAGCTCTTCTTTTGAGCAGCTTAGTGTGTTTTGAACCTTCAGTTCAGTTCAGAAAAGCCTTTTAGATATTTAAGTTTTCTTTGGTACAATGTGAAATGATTAATTTCAGAGTAAAATACTATGGCAGATGGCCAAACTGTAAACCGTTTCGGTCTAATAGTGAACACTACACTCTATATATTTTTTTTTTATTCAAAATGCAAAAACACCAAAGAGATACTGGGCAGATTTACAATGTCCACTGGATGCTTTTCAATGCAATTTGATCTTGCAATGTTCACTGTCTGTACATATCACACAATAGGAAATCTGACCTCTGCCTCTAAATTGAGGAAGTTTGAAGTCAATAAAAAAAGTCTGCTGTACATATGCAATCTGTTTACATCTGCTGAAGTGGATTACGAAAGTTGTTTGGTAGTTGATATTGAACAAGAGGAAACTGAGAATAGATCCTTTTGGAATCTCTCATACAAATCAACATTTTCTCAGGAGGATAATTACTAATAAGCTTTATTTAATAGGCTAGGCTATACACAGTTTTTATTCAAAATAAGAGTAAGACCAGTTTTAAAGGATTATTGAACAAAAGTAACACAGCACAGCAAAGTGGACAGGAAATAACTCAAGTCCTACGTTAAGTGGACATTAAGTCTTTAGGCCTGCTCCAAAACACAATTGTCCTTCATGTTTGAACATAGAAAGAAGCAGCTCCTGTATCAGTGTTTAACAGTCATGCACAATGCAAATCGTTTGTCTGTATTGAAGTCCGGCTCGTTGGATGAGACAGTTTCTGATCTGATCCTGAACTGGGAAGGAAGGCAGTAAAGCAGTAATTCTGCTGAGCTGATGCATTCACATGCTGCTCACTTCTGTTAAAAACAGCCACTCAGCCTAAGACTCCTGACTTCTGCACAAATTGGTTAAGTCAGAAATTGCTGATTTACCAAATTCAGAAAGTAGAATGGTTGAAGCTGATTTTCTATTGACACAGTCATTTCTACTAAATGATGCAGTGCACATAACTGGAGTGTTTTTCTACTGCATCAATCATGTTTTTCTGTGATCTTCATCAGGGACGTAATTAAACACACACGATTTAAAAACACAAGCAGTGCTACTATTATTTTGTTATTAATAGAAATCTCTGTCTTGTGCGATCTATTGATTCCATTGAATATTTATCTTATTTTGCCCCGACATTTGTTTCATTATACAAACACAACTTAATGAAATTAAAACAAATTAGAATCCAAAATAGGGATTAATTAAATTTAATTCAAAAATCCTTATTTGGCTCTAGAGGACAAGCTGATGGCTCATAGACTAGACATAAAAACAGACAATTAGGATAGCAAAGAAATCATTAGTACGGATCACAGCTTTTTTACAGCATGTTATGATTTATTTAATAGTTTAAAGTGTTTTTGTAATTAATATTGAAAAAGGTTATTGCATACAATTTGCCCCTACATACTGCTGTGATTCCTAATTATATTATTGATCTTAATTTTAGCCCAAAGAGCCAACATTTTTGCTTCAGTACTTTCTATCATTCTTCCAGAAAAATCTCTTTTTTCTCACCATCAGGACTTTAAGTTTAATGCAATTACCCTAGTGCATGTTTTGGGCTGTGTCAAATCCAAAATACCAATAGATGTGAACGATCCAAGAACATAGAAATTCTGTACAAGAACACCACCATCAACCAGAGATCATATAGGAAACCATCTTCCTTGGAAGCAGGAGAAATAACCACTGTGTGGTCCAGGTGTGAAATTGTTGTCTTCAATCTTCCATACACGATATTTCTAAGATTAGTTACCAGGGCTCTCACTAGTTACCTGACAGCACACGTGTTACAGATAGTCAATAGTTCATTACTTTCAGGATTTTCCCCCGAAGCCCTGAAACCTGCATCAAACACCAATCTATATCCTTAATGATAACGTGTGAACATGAAGAAGCTGTTTAATTAAAATAGGATGTTTAAATGAGACAAACTGACATTTGTCAGGCTTTTTTTTGGCATTTACGTGGCAGGAAACTCGCCTCGGTTCATGTGTTACTGCAACACACTGTTGAATCTCAAACATCATTGAACAGTGTGTGGAAGCCTTAAGCTTCAGCAAATCAGGCCCATGTTTTTTTCCTTTTTCTTTTTGCGGCACCATCAGTGTTTGTTCCCTACAATTTATGCAAATGCTCTGCTACTGAAGCATGAAAAAGACAGAAGTGTCACTAAAACTAGAAAGGCACAATGTCCAAATGACCTGGAAGGTACCAGATGTCCATCAGTGCACAGAGACTGGCAGACTGTTAGACCCTTTAAAGCCAATGCTGCTTTAGATCTAAACTAAACCATACCTCTTCCTATGTACTGTGTGAAGTTCCACTAGGCTTTGGTCTTGGTCCTTGGTCCAATGCCACTGAAAGGACACTTATTATACCTGGTACAAACATCTGTCCTTATTATTACCATTAACGCTGGTCAAAAGAACTTGGGAAACAATACAAAGTACAAAATCAGATTGGACACTGGTCACCTGTTAACTTATACTCCAATTTGTGAGAATTCTATTCAGGTTTATGTGCTTTGAATTTGCACATCCTTTACAGAAATTAGGGTTACTGCTGGTGTAAAGTGTATAGCACATATAAATTTGTACTCCCTCAACCTGCCTTATAAATCTTAATCTAGGAAGTGAGTGCACAGTAGCCTGGTTTCAACTACTGCACAACACTCCATTAACGGCTGCATGTCAATTCTTCCGCTCACCCCTCCACTCATTAGACTTGTCGGCTCCCAGAGTAGTAGAAGGAGTGTAGTCTCACTGATCACTTCTTCTGCAGCAGCAGCAGCAGCAGCAGCAGCACCAGTACAACTGTCTTTACACAGCATCATTAGGGACTTGGACTTTTAAATCCACAAAACCATTTATTCATCACATGTGCTGTACTGTGGAGCCTCATTACACCGATATTTCTGTCAGCACTCACAGGAAAGCCCAGCAGATGGTCAGTGATTAGATAATCCTTTTTTTTTTACCAACCAGAATTCAAATAACACAGAGAAAACAATGACAAACAGTCATTTAAGTTTCTACTTATTTTCACTGATTCACATCTTTAAACACGGAGAAATCTCCTAGAAAACGCTGTACCATCTGAAATAGAAATTAGGATTTTCTGTGTCAAATGTCAAATTAAAAAAACAAAAAACAAACAAATATACTTTGGCTTTTGCAAAGTGTTCGTAAGGTGCTTTGATAGAACATACTGGTTCAACACTCAAACAATAGAACACAAAGGGCAGCCAGGATGTGGTATGTGCACTGACAACCTCCAGGGCTTAAATGACAACAAACAGAGAAAAAAAAAAGTGCCACGGAGAGAAATTGGACTGGAAAGTCTTTAATCTAAAAGAGCTCCATACAGGCCTGGCTAGAACTGACAGATGGCGCATGAGAATTTCAGAGGTAAAACAACACAGATAAGAAAATAAGGATACAATGGGAGAGAGCAAACATGTTACCTAAAAAGAAACACTTCACAATTATGGTATTGTTTTTGTGTGAAAGTCTGTGTTAACCCCAGAATCAGGGAACACACACAATCTCCACAAAATAAGCTGTCTCCCTGAGCCGGGATATGAACCTGCAACCATGTAGATGTTGTTCCTTCAAAGCAGATGGAAATTCTTTAGTGGTTGATGTCATGTTGAATTATATATCCATTTATTATCTCCGACTCACAGTCAGGGCTCGGCCTGTTTCAGGTCCTGAGAACAGTTAGGTCCATGACGAATGTGACCAACAGAGACACAGAACCATTCTTTCCCACGTTTGCACATTTGCGGTCAGTGCAGAGTCTGTTATTACCCTAAACATTATCTACAGGTCTTTGAAGTGTGAGAGGAGAAGGAGGTTCTCCCAGGAGAACGCCCACGCAAACACGCAGAAAACATACAAACTGCACAGAGAGAGGAGGGCACACACCTTACTGTAGGTTACACTGCTGAGTGCTACAACATGGAGCAGCCCATCATCCATTATATTCTACAAAGGAAAGAATCTACACAGCAGTGATAGGGTCTTATTAATATTTATTGGTACTAACCCCCCCGCC